GTTTGCTCGATTAGCTCCTCTCCCAACGCGAAGCTACTCCCGCACAACAAATCCGGGCTGGACGAGGTCGATTTAGCGTTAGCCTTACCAGAAGACCCTTCGTTTGCTCTTTTCGTTGGAGTCGCTTCCGAAGACCTCTCGAATCGATCTCGAGTGGGTGTTCTGTATGAGAGGTTCCTTTTCTTCAGAGGCAGAGCCTCTTCGCTCCTCTCGTCGTTATCCAGCAGGATTTCGACTTTGTTAGTCCTGGAGAAGCCGATGATGGCGTCAATGTCCTTCATCTGACTATAACTTAGCTGCTCCTCGATGGACTGCTTCGTGGGAGTTCTTTCAGACAACGATCCGTCTCGTTTCCCTTTCACAGGTGTCTCCTCGAGATTTCGTTCCAGGATCTGCTCCTTGTCGCTCTGGATATTTGGCAGTGTCTCTTCAACACGGTCATTCGCGATGCTTTCCGATGGATTAGCTCTGTTTTTCCTTTTTTTGTCTCCGGTGGCCTTAATCGCTCCCGACTCGACTTCCTCCTTTTCAATTTCGCTGAGAGACCGCCTGGTTCTCGTGTTCTCCACGCTCACGTTCAGAGATCTTTTTTTCTTCTTCTTGGCCCGGAGTTCCTTGCCGAATTTAGCGACGGAGGACCAGTTCTGTTTCATAGTGGGAAGCATGTTGCAGGGTGACGTTCTGAGAACGTCGGTGGACCTCTCGTTATTGTCAGCAGATTTCATCGTGCTGGACGCACCCGGCCTTTGGTTCTTCGTGTCCAAATCCACTTGGCGATCTTTAGACTTGCTTAATTTGGAGCCTGCTTGTGATGATCCACGAGTGACTTCGATCATCTCCGTCTGTTGATTCTCGTCGTGCAACGATTCTATCGATAATCGTTTTCCCGGGGAACGACACCCAAGTATCTCGTCGTTATCGCTCCTAGGATATACTTTGCTTGTGGTAGCTTGGTTTATATCACCCGTGACGTTCTCGTAAGCCTGAGAAACAGAGAACGCCGTAGTCTCGTCAAGATTGAATGCAGAGGGCTCCATCGGCGCGGTTTTGTTCGGATCCTCCAACGCTTCGTTCTTTGGTAAAGTTTCCAGCCAACACTGTACCTTGCTATCCATCGAGTTATCGCCTTGGCAACTAGATTCGTCAGGTGGCAGGAGCTCGATGCCAGACAGAGCGTACTTGTTCAGATATCGCGTTATGTCGCTGCCCGAGACGCTCTCCCTTTTACTCTTGCCGCGCGTGGATATCTTCTTATGCGCCTGTGTGACATTTTTCGACCGAGGACCGCGTAATTTCTTGGATGGTGTCGCGTTCACGTGCGAACAGCTTGGCCCAATGGTTTCGTCCTTTTCTAATCTGTGGTACTCCGTGCCGTCCGATGAGCAGCTCTCACGCGTGTTCCTGGGCTTTGAGGTGTCCAATGATACTAGAACACGCATATTGCATTGCTGGAAGTGGCGATAATTGGGTCTGGGGAATTTGTTTTGAGGGTAGATAGGGTGGAAAATGGGGTTGGAGTGAGCAGCCGTCGTTTGGAATGCTGTGAAGGCAATTTTAAGTGAATATTGGATACATTCATGTATCAAAAGGGACAATATAAATATTTTTATCATAAAAGGTTATCATAAAAGGTTTTATAAATTATGTGAATCATATCTGATCTTCATATTTTAGATGAATTATAATTGTGAATTATAACATGATTATAATTAAACCTGAAAGATCAAGGAGTAACTTGGTACTAAGTAAGAGTAGTAACCAATTCAAAATAAAAAATTAAATATTTCAATTATGGAGAGTATTCCAAACACATATAGAATATATCTGATTTTATTTTGAACGAAGGCACACATGATTGCAATTGAAACTGGAAAATTAAGCATCTACCGACTGATTTTGTTATTAAAAAACAACATCACAGAGCCTCACTGATCAAATAATTTATTTTGTGCTGTCACTGAGCGCAACGGAGATTTCCGTGATGATAATACCGGGTGTTCGAAGCTTGAGCATTCCTAAATGTTTAAAATTTAAAACGAAGGACTTGTTAAATATCCAACGAAAGAATTTCAACCGCGGAAACGACACACGTGAACGTCGAGACCTCGTAAAACGTTGAAGTTTTGGATACCTGTAGGAGGCAGCGTGATCCCAAACAACACACCGACATAAATTTTTTAAGAGCTCACTGTGCTCTGAAGAACGGATAGCTGACCTCAGCGAACATGATATCGTGTCGGGTACAGCGCCGTAATTTAAGCTTCTTGTTTTTTTTAACAACGAACGAAGAACATCACCGAGGCTATGATATTTATTTTCACGCGTACGTGTATCGAGTACGCATAGATATTGTGTGTGTGTGATTGTAAAACGCGAGAAGCTGTTGTGAGTCGTGCACGTTTGAAATTTTATCGTTATCGCACGTATAGAATACAAAATAAAGAGTCACTCCGGAAACATGTTTGAAGTTATTTTTTTTTTCAAATAGCAGCTTGAAAAAAATTGAGTGGCTTAAACATTTTTTTTATTTAAAAATCAGAGTGGACTATCCGTTAACCAAACAGTTGAACAAAATTCTGGTTGCTTAAGATCACTTTCCTTCCTCAGGAATAATGCTTACTGTCTACTGTACGTAAACTACTAATTAAAAGAAATAATTTATTTCATATAATTCCGATCGATGACTCGGTACATGGGTCATACTACAACTGTGCTAATTTTAATGAATAATCAAAAATATCTTCAATAATTTTTTAGTTCGACCTTTAAATGAATATTTAATTTTTAATTTTTTTTTCGTAAAAAATTATGCTTTATATTTCGTATCTCGGTTTGTATTGTGTTTAAATAATAGGAATCGATGGTACTCACTGTCGATACCCGAGTCCATTTGAATAGCTTCTTTCAATTTTTCCAATTTATCGATGTATAATTCCATGGCCTCGTCCTTGGAAATACTGCGCCGCGGAAGATTAGTGTTACACAGTGGACAGCATGCATTTTTACTTTCCGATACCTTTTGGATGCATTTGTGACAAAATCGGTGTCCGCAACGAGTTTTCATAGGCTCGGATATAGTGCACAAACTGAAACATAAATAGATTATAAAAATTATTTTTTTTTTTCGATTACAAACAATAAATATTGTCGAAGAAGAATCGGTAGTATTGACAATACAATTCATAAAACAAGCAAAAGAAAATTCAATAATATTACAAGAGAGTTTCGTGTAATTTGCAATGTAATCAAATAATATTAGATATACATAGTAATTTATTTGAAATAAATATGGGGAAGAATAAACGCCTTTTATATATTATACTATTATTTATTGATAAGTAATATTTCTTGTGATCCATCTGTTTTTAATCATTCTGGCGTAACTGCTACAAGTATAATCCCAGAGGCGAACAAGGCTTGTTTTCTTATAGCAACAAAATTGTTAATAAATTTTGAAGTATCTTTGATAACAGTACTTAAGTTAAATGATTTTAATACTTTGTATTAGCGATAAGACATTACTGTTATTCTAACAAAATATCTAACAGAAGTAAAAATGTTAGATATAGGAATATTATCTATGCTATGGATTTCATTCGCATGTAGTAATTATTATTACTACATGCATGGAAATAATATGCATGCTACAAATACAGATGATAAGGAAAGACCATGAACTATTACATAAATCAAATGCAAATGATAATATATATAGTTAAATAGCATACTCAAACACTAATTCATAATACCATAAAATTTAAAGCATAATAATGTGTAATTTAGAGCCAAATCTAAGGAAACAATTCATACAATCAATTACACAAATTGATACAATTATTTCATCATACATTCACTCAAAAATGTTCAAAACATGAAAGTAAACAGAATGAAACATAACCTATCTTACGACGATAATCGCAAAACCGCTATGCGTTGTCATCTAATATCATAATGCGTAATGAATAATATCTAAATTTACGTTCTACCGATGTACGTCATAAGTTATGATAGACAAGTCTTAAACTCACCAAATTGTACATTGTAAGCATTTCTGCATTTCCAGTATTACTTCTGACAGTTTACTAGCAGTTGCGAAAACTTGTTCCATTATTCTTGTTTGATATCCTAGGAACTTCACATCATGAATATTTGTCACATTTGCACTATTAATACAACACTATTGCGACTATAATTCACTTTCGCGCTAATATCTGGCCATGGCTATTAAACAAACATAGTTGACAACAGTTGTCACGATGCGAGTACAGAAGGTTACTGACAGTTACTGATTCAGCCGCTCGACCGGGTGGCGTTGCGATCGATCGATCCTACGTATTTCAATCAAAGAGATTCTTTCATTCCAATCATTTACACCAGTGCTTCCCAGACTTTGACTCTCTACAGACCGTTTGGAATTATTGGTGTAGTGTAGTCAGTAAATAACAGAAATAATATTACTCTGATTCTAACAAATGTGTATTTCAGTTTTCAAAACATGATGATCAAGTAGTTTCATGTGTTTCATTTTAAACATTTTCATCAGAAAGATAAATATGATCCCCTTTTGGAATTTATTTAATACGATTTAATAATATACTAATTTCTTCTATTGAATACTATTAAAACATTCTTTACTTTGTTTTCGAATAAAAATTTGAGAAATTAAAGTCTGAGAAACATTGATCTAAATTCTAAATGATACTACATTACAAATTTAAATTCATGTAGAAACTAGTTATAATTTAAGTTGTGTATAATGTGAATATAAATTACTTAATTATTCATAAAATATTATAAACCATTTAAGCACGATTTAAAAATCAGCGAACTATTTATAGAACTTTGAAAATTGAAGTTATTTGCTTATTAATTTTGTGTAACTTTTCAAAGATAATTGGGTTTTGTTCAACCATCAGAAGCGTTGATTCTCCTCCGTAGCTATTAATTAATCTGATTTGCAATCGATCGAGTTCACTGACGCGGGCGTTTCTGCATTACAGGAATTTCCATACTAATGATTAAATCGTCGCCATCGAGCACAACCAGCAGACAGAAGGGACGATAGTGCGGCAGAACATGACCCTCGCCGAAACGACCTGTTGTTGACGTTATGGGGTGGATCTTCCTTGCTAGTATTTTACTCCTCTCCTTATGCGGTAAGTTTTCTTCGATTTAAGTTTACTACCATCCGTTCAAAAATTGAAACATCATGCTTAAAACGCCACAAAACAAATATCAGTCCGAATTGACTTATGTCTTCCCGAGGTGAACCAAAAAGGGCCCTCGTTTTCCTTTATTCCAATTATTTTAATTAGTACAATCGTTAATTTACCTTAGGTGCGGAAGACATATTAGCACCCATTAGCAATCATGCTGTATTTACGTTAATGGTAACCTCTTTACTTTCCAAAAAATATTTCAGGCGGCTATAATAAAGCTTTTTTAATAAATTTGATTTGAACATTAAATAATAAATAGAAACAAGGTCTGCTTGAAGCATATTTTTCTGTCTCCAAAAGTAAAGAGGTTACTTCGATGGCTTGTTTTAAGTGCTTCACCCTGTATGTACCATAATATTGTATTATCTGTATCTACATTATTTTCCTCAATTTTTTATTTCTTTATTTATATTACTATTCAAGTCTAATTTCGTAATATTTACTTAATTTGTTTCCGATTTATTTCTGTCTACTAATCATTTTTTTAATTTTTTGTAATTAATTTTTACGATAGATATTTGGTTAAATGTAACACTTTGCTCGCATTGATTGCTTTCCTTCTCGTGCGATAGAGTATCAAAACCGCTCCTAGTCGATTACGAATGAATTTCTCGTTCACTTCGAGCACCAATTTCAGTAATTTATTTTTCAAGTAATACCAAAAATACATTTCCTTTGGAATATACCACGCTCCATAAAGTATTCTACTTGGGAGGAGTTTTCACTTAAGAAAAAAAAAATTTCATTAAGTCAGCCCCATAGAAGTCAAAGTTTGTTCCTCTGGGATCAATTGCGTATACTGGTCTCGCTTCGACCACGCAATAAGAAAGTCGCAGCCTTTCAGAAACTGTAGTAACAGTAAAAATTTATAAGCTAAATTCAGGGGAAAAATGAAATTGAAATTGTTCATAATAGAAAATAATTGCTTGAAGTATTCAAATTAAAAATAAGGAAAGCACTTGTTTGGTTTTAATTTGCTTTTGTTACATTATCCAAATAAATTGAATGAATTACGCGATAACACTCTTGTCTGTGATGCTATTAATTTGTCAATAGCAGAGCTTGAGAATTTTATTTTTATCGTGAAATTATGTTGGATTTATTACGAAATTCAGTAGAGAAATGCCAGGTGTTACAGACTCAGTTTTCTTTCTCCATTATATACCATTCTGGTATCATAAAATTAATGCTTTTGTGTGACCACCAACAGGTAACATTAAAGGTGCTGTGAAAATTTCAGTGACATGTGCAAAGTTTCGGGTGAAATTAATTTCATATCTATAACACTGCAAAATAGTTTTTTATCTTATTAGCGGCTCCGCATGCAAATAAACTGGCACTGAAAGATTTAAAATCCGGTAAATTTATTCACAAATCGCGTTGATTAGCAAAATAAATCGAGTATAATATTCCTTTCGTAGAGAAATTTAAAGTACGCTCGAAAAGTAATTTTTCTTGATCGAATAAGTTTACCAGAAATAAATCAACTGCTTTTGCAGTGACTAAAGAAGCACTGTCCCATCCATAAATTGTGTTCCTCGCCAGCAAGACCGAGAAACGTGTATACACTTAAGGATACGCGGTGACTGTGTTACAAAGTTACTTGAAGATTTTTAAAAATTGTTAAACAATTCGTTTGGATTATATTAGTAGTTAAGGCAAAAAGTGAAACAATTGTTAGTGATTTTGAATCCAAAAATCAAAATACGCAGTACCAAATCGTTAATTGTATAAACATTCATCATCGACCCCTTTTAACCTCAGCCCTTGTTGCTCTATGATGTCACAATATACCACGAAACTGAAGATCACGAAATATACTATAGTTAGGGACGAAGATTCTGCCCACTCAAGGTCTCCAATATACATTCTATTATCACACAAATTGTACCAGATGTGTGAAATTTACTTACACATCAATTCTTCATACCAACACAAATCAAAAATTCCTTTACCACTTTCCAATCGGACCCCTCGTTACCGAGTTATACTAACGTAAAGTTTCTTCCACGCATAAACACCCGCGCAGGGGCTTCATCGCAGCTCCGCGCTATACAAAATGGCGCGCGCCAAGGATCACACCTGAAAACTTTACCTGCTCATATCTCGGTAACGAAGCGACGCATTGCAAAATGATAGAGGACATTTCGATTTTTTTTTTTTAAACTATCCATGGGATGACCTCGGGGGATCAAAATCTTTCACCGTGACTGTAGAATCGTCCGCCAAATAATAATTTGATCGGTGTATGTTGCTTTTTCACGCTGCCTTGGATTAAAATAAAAAGCGGCGGGATTGCCGTTGCCACAGGGCGGTGGCGGGGCGGGGGGCCATGGACAGCCGCAGGCTGGCTCGCCGAGCACCCCAGGCCCCGGCGGTGGCATAGCTGGCAGTGGTGTAAGCAGCACCCTCGGCGCTGCTGGCGGCGGTGCCTCTGGCTCTGGCATCGGCGCCGCCGGTACAGTTGGTGTCGGTCTCGGTGTTACTGGAGGAACTACCGGCGGTGGAGCCGGTGGCGGTGCCGCCGGTGGTGGCACAGGTCGGTCCGCTGGACCGGCTCGTCGGGGCCGAGGGTGGCGCGACTGGCGCCGCGGCGACCCCACCCTTATCAAAGGACTTTGGAAGTCGAAGGGACCTCTAGGTAAATTATCAATTCCTTATCGTTCTTGAGACGTCCGTGTCGTGACTTTGTCGGTGTCCGTCATCCTTTCATGTTGGTGCATGTCTTATCGTTAATGCCGTGGGGAGACGTGGCCACGGGGAAGTCCCATTCCTGCCATTAGTTCTTCTCTGCGATCACGTGACCTTACAACGTCATTTCGTGTACTTATTATAACCCTTTGCACTCGAGAGGTGACTCTCAGTCACCAGTAGATTTCATGCAGCAAATCTACAATACATAATGTTTCTTTAGGTTTAATTTCTTCGGAGCTTAAAGTGTCAATAAAATGATTCTCGACGAGGATAAGGTGACCTTATTCTCAAATCTAGATAGCTTAGAATTCATGGCAATGCTAAGAAACATGTCGAGTTGCTGGTAGATACCAGAAAAAAAGGCCTCGAGTGAGAAGGGTTAAGCTGTTCAGCACTGGCATGGTGATTGATACGTTGACTGTCACGCAAGTTTCCCATGTTCATTGAGTTATTGCCATTTTGTACCAGTTACCAATCGGCAGTCAACGTGTTGAGTAAAAAGTTATTTCTACTTAACAATATTTACTCGAAGTATGGGTAGAATAGAAGCTTGATTATTGCATGAGATGTTTTTTAGGATCCTGTGAGGTTGGAGGAAGTATCCAGTGTTAGTGATGACATGGGGAATACCCAAGTAGTAATTTCACGCGACAGTTTGCGTGATTCGTTATGATATATTAATGCCCTGCCAATGGTTACACATCACTTAAATTTGTTAATCTGTTGTGAGTAAATTATGCCACAAAAGCGTGTCAGCGACAGAGCGTTAATATTTCATAGAAATTCGGGCTAATTGTCGCCACTGCAGTAATGCCTCTGGTATTTTAATTGTGTAACAAGCTTGTAACCATGGAGAAGGGTATTCCCCTCAAATACAATCATTCTCAACCCTCGTCAATTCTTTGTTCGATCAGATTACACATCGAATATCTTGATCTTGTAAGAAAATTTATAGTTGCTGAATATTTAGCATGATTTGTGCTTTTTCCAATTTATTAGGTGGACTGGAAAGTAATGTCGCTTCTTTGACATTAAATTCAAACAAATTTTTTATAAATTTCTATTTTTAATTATTAATTGTATAATCGCTTCCGTTATCAATAGCCTTTTGTCATCTAGTGTGCAAATTGTCAATGCCAGATCAATAAAAATCAATGAGCTGATGAACGATAAACAAGTATTTAAAATTGCAAAAACGACATTATTTTCCGGTTCACCTAATATTTCCAACTATCGAAAGCATGCATTGTTTATTTCTTAATAAATATCCATTTAATGTACCTATGTTTATCCCTGTAAGCACTTCTAGGGGTAATTTTTCACGATTATTATTGATTCACGATGTTTTACACGTGAATATTTTCGAGGGGGCTCCCAATGCTCCCTCGCGTTGAATTTTCAAGCTATCACAGCCAAAGCAGTTTCACAACGTGTCGCGTTGGAAAGTTCCCAGGTTTATGGCTTTACTTTAGAAACAGCTGCGAGTGAGAGTCTTATATTGTAAAAGCGACACGTAAACTATCCCCGCGGATGATCTACTTTCGAAGAAAAGAGTTTTGCATGGCATTGCGAGAAGCGTTGGTGCCGAAATGAGAAAAACTTGAACGAATAAAGGAGCTCTATTCCGATGTTTTACTATTTCAACGTAACATCGTCGTATCGCTTTATCTTCTTTATCAATAATAATTGCTATGGGAATTGAATCGAATGCTCAGCCCCTCGGTTCAGCTTTTCGCATCGAATTAGTTTCAACTTGACCGTAAATTGAATATGATAGAAAGAAAGATGTGAAAAATTCATGAAACGAGTGAACAGTGACGCGTCTCTTTGCTCGCGCAGCCTCTGCGTCGAGATTCCGATTTAACTTTCAAATTCGAGAGTAGATCAGTGCAATCCTAGATTCTACGGTGAATACTGTATTTCATTACTTCGAATTCCTTCTGTCCTCGAACGCGAAACGTGGCAGACGTCTGCCGAATGTATACACTTTTTATTGCCACTTCGAAAAGAGAAATCTCATAAGAACGTCCTCAGAAATGTATCATTCGTATTTTCACTTGCTTTACATTTATTTCTGCTTGCATCCTTCGTTATAATCACGCTTGATACGACACCACTTCTCTACGAGGGACATTGTCCACTCTACATTACGCATAAAACCATTTCAAGCATTCAGAAATAAATATCAATATCAGCATCGTTATCCTCACAATGCATCTAACAAGCAGAAGTTTTCTTCAAGCATATACTCGACAAACCCTACTGTCGACATCCACCTGCAAACACGGTGACAATAATCTTTTTCCACTCGAGGAGAGTACAGCTCATCAAAGGGCCATGCACAAAAGAATCATGCAAGAAGTATCAAACGAAACAGAAACCCTTTCAAACACTTGGACAATGTCTCTCTTCCATTCACCGAATGAATCACATCTGTGAATGCTTGCATCTTTTGTCAGCGAATGCACGACATTACGCAGAAAAATCGCACAAGACGCATCAACCTGAACGAAATCCCACTGGAACACTTGGACGATGTTTCCCCATCAATTTTAGCCAAGGATTCCCTAGCATGCGACGCACGAACATAGAGATATTATAGGTAGGGGAGTCGTACTGCAGCTAAAAAGAGAAAGAAAACCGTGATACCTTACTTTTATTGGGTTACTTTGAATAGTAGAGAAATAGTAGGGAAGCTATACAGGATGTCTTCTATAACAGAAAATACAGTAATTATACTCTGAACGATTATAAATATAAATATAGTATAATAGGATACACACGGTGAAAATAATTGTTCACGTATAATTTTTAAATCGAACCATCTATTCTTTATTATACATATATTTCACATTCACTGTAATAAAAGCACAGAGATGAATAAGGTACAGTCTTTTTTCTCTTTTTAACGCTAGGACATATCCATTAACAGGCCAACATCTTCCCCTGGTCTATCTATAATATCTCTCTGCGCACGAATGCATGATTAATCGTTCCACGATCCAGGGAGCTGAAGTTAGCCAAAAACCACCTATCGCCCGTGCAGATTCTTTAGGAAACGCGGAGGTGTATATCTTCCTAGCGCTGCTGATCGGTTTCATCACCGTGGTGGTGGGCTGCTGGCTGTCGGACAACTGCTGGTCACCTGAGCCCGAAGGGGTGGTCACACTCGCATAGCCTAGTGCAGACTTCCGTTCGTCCAGGCGATAACAACTACCGCGCCGGCCCTCCTACAGGAGCTTTCAGGACATCGGCCAGTCGGAACGGCAGAACGTCGTTGGGAATCAGCGGCCGTTGCTCGATATTAACGACAACCACACGCTACTACCGATATGACGCGAGAATCTTGTCGCGTGAACCCCACTTACGCGATGGACTCCACCTGTTACGTATTACCAACGTTCGCACGGTACCGTACAACATCGCCGGAGCTGAAAGCCCAAACGTTCATCGAAATATCGACATATCCGACGCTGGAGCACGATTCGCGATGCTCGCGACGCACTGCGACTCGTCGAGGAAGGATCCAGGAGTGGAATTAGCGAGATTGGAGACGGTACAGTCGGAGGAACAAACATGGCGACTTGGTTAAGTCAGTTACCAGCGGTGAAGCGATTACTTTGTAGGGGATGAACCGCTAAATAGGTTTCCCATGAGAGTACGGATGCCTACTGTTGACGTCTGCTCACTTTGGGAGGCTGAGACCACCGCTCGAGATGGATAGGAATTTGTGGAACTCAGCCAAGGTTTAAGGCTCAGTAATGTCTAGAATGGTACCGTGTATTGGCTCCAGTTTCTCCGAGTCGCTATTTCTGTTCCATCGAATGTGCTCGAAGTCAGTTCACAGCCAGAAACGCATGACTCCCACTGGTGCTCAAGGTATCACGCTCAAAGTTGTTTTTCCTAAGGAAAATCTTCAAAAGACTCCCTCAAAGTTTTGAGGAAGGCTGAGGAATAGTTTGGGATTCCCCAGAGTATCCACTGAAACTAGTACACCACGATCTCCTACTGCATTATGAGAGTTCTAGGTTCAAGAACACCCATGCCAAGGTGTCCATGCTCATTAAAGACCAGCGAATGCCTCTATAACCCAAATTATTTTTGACTCGCACGGAAAGCTATCTACGAAGATGAATTTTTATGCAAAGAAGCTTTCCCAATGTAAGAAATTCTATTGTAAAGGACGTAGTGGCCATATTGTTCTTTTGACGCCTCGACGCACGATGGCGACGACATCGGGTTTTGAAAGAGTAGCTCAGCAAGTTAAATAAGATCCCGACCTCGGTTCGACGTTGATCCTTGTCATGCTTCCACAGAGTCGATGATCGATTAACCGATAAATATTTCATGGGGGGAGCGGGACTGAAGCCTCAGGGGCTGGGTTTCGTGCATTTAGGCATTATACAGGCCCGTTAGATTCTTCTCGGAGCCAACGGTCCTTTCACGGGAGTGCCACGATTGTAGGGTAGGGATCCTACTCACGGAAGCGTATCCAACGACTATGTCGTGCTATCGTTCAAACTAAGAGTGGTCGTGTTCGTTGAGCCAAACAATAGCCAGGGATATCTCTAGCGGTTGGTCACCTTCCTTTCTCCACCGAGACCTACATTTGTTGTTGATGGCTTCCCTGAGTAATCCTTGCTGCTGCTCTGGGTTCAGTTAACCCAGAAACGTATCCCTCGTTCCATGGTGGTAATTGTTTGGAAGGCTATCGCACAACCCTAGGAGTAATATAGGTCTAGGCGATAGTCTAATCGTCTGGTCTCAACTCCGCTACTCGTTACGTCGAGCTCAAGCTACCACTTCAGGACTCGTAGCTCAGATTTAACTCTTCATGCTTGATCCAACTGGAGCGAAAGAACGATAAGATACGTATTATTAAGGTTCTTAATCGCAACGAAGTCAAAATGATCTCGTGACGGTCCGAAGGGTTAACTTGCTGAGTTATTTATGGGTGCATTACGCCATGGTCATCTAGGGTTGTAGAGGGTTATGATATTTCGCGTTGAACGTGATCCCTTGAATGCTAGTTAGCATTAAACACGAGTAGGGCTGATATCGCGATGACGCGATCTGTGATCGCTCGTACGAATCTGCGCGCGTATCGACGAGACACTGGGATATGGCGCGCGCGGGAAATTTGAAAGTCTATATCAGGTAACTTCGTCGATGGTTTTCGACATCGACTAAGTTTACACGGCTTGATTTACACCGATTATATCATCGATGTTGTAACTCTTGCTGATAAGTGTCGTGTAAATATTACGGGACGTAACTCGATATGGTAATTCGTAATTGTTCGGTGAAAGGGCTTAGAGTTACTCTATCGATGCATAAAAGGCATGTAAACTGGTGCGGCGATGTTATATTATCGATTCGGAGATCAAAGTATGATCTCATGTTTACACGGTGCAGTTTATACCAAATTTATAAGATGGATCTAGCATCTCAAAATCGTTGGATGGAGATCCCAAAATCGATGTAAACAGGCGTCTATGCATATGTCTATTACATATAAAGTAAAGTTTATATCGAATTTATAAAACGGCCCTAGCATCTAGAAGTCGTTCGACTGAAGATGCTCAGAGTTACCAAAATCGACGTAAACAGACGTCCACGTTTACAAGACGAAGTTTATATCGAGTTCATAAAATGTACCTATCATCGAAAAGTCGTTAAACGGCGAAACGATTTTAAAAACACGTGCAAACGGTTGAAACAGCGTTTATACGATTCAGTTTACACCCGAGGTTATAACATTCATGGTATAATTACCGAGCTTAGACGCCGTGTAAACTCTATTTCGCGACGGGGTTACAACGTCGATGTAGAAAGTCAAAGCGACTCGACGACGTGGTTTCGAGTTACTATATCGACGTAAACGAGACGTGTAAACTGTTGTATCGAGGTAGACGGGGTCCATCGTGCTGGAACTAGCAGAACACCGTGTCGTAGTACTACCTAGCAAACGGGACACAGAGAACGCGCCCGATTCCACCCTCTGTCTTGATCACCAGCTAGGAATTTATGGAACGCAGCACTGTTCTGACGTTACCGGACGAAACACTAAACGCGAAGGTTCCACGGACGCGAAAGATCGAATTCCAACTTATGTTTGCCCCACCCACAACCCACGAAATTGTACGAAATGAGGTGTACAAGAAGTAAACGATTTTTTAAAGACACATCATCGGGAACGTTTTTATTCTGTCTTACGGCGAGAGAACACGAGACGTGGAGTCCGGTGCGTGGTACGCGAGGTGACAGTGAGTTGTGATGGTTTGTTATTAATATTTTTTAAATATTATTCCAAGGTTTAAGGGGAAACTTCAGGTGCAGAATAATTTGGATTTTATTAACAAATCAACGTGAGTTTCGTTTGGGTTTGCTTTGTATCGTTTGTAAATAATTGGGACACTATATATAGGTGGCCATAAAAGTAGTGCAAGTGAATTAATTGAATCTTCCTTCTACGTAGTGTGTTTAGAATTGAAACGATTCCGCGTGTTGAAAACTGATGTTTCGATTGTGCTCTAGACACGTTCCAATATAAAAACGGGTATTTTTGCACTTTATATGCAGTGGGTTATGTGCGGTGGTTATATGCATTATTCGCGATAATTGGATATTTCATGAACGACCGAAGTATGAAAGCAAAAATTTAATTTATCCAGTTCATATTTAATTTTGTACATACCTGTACAAATGTTTATCGTCGTTCTGATAAATCGCACAAAATTGACGAGAAGGAAATTTGATTCTGTATGCTCTCGTGGATGAAGAAACAATTTTTCTCCTCTGAGCTAATAGCCTCCCATGATGCTACCTCTACTAATTTCCTCAATCTTCTTTGATCTCGGTTTTCTTTCCTAATTCAATTACGGAAGACGTACATGGGGTTGCTCCATTGAAATCGGTTATCGATGTTTGTCTTCTCTTTTTATTTCATTTCTAACGGGTTTCCTGATACAAAAGTTAGTTCAGCAATTTCTTTTGGTACGTTAAAAATGATTAAATAGGTATCACATGATAATAGAAAATACACAACGCCTGAGGAACGTTAAATTAACTTATTTAAACTAGTATCGAAGTACCATTCCAAATTTTGCATATTTATATGTAGTAAAATTGTTCTAAAATATGACTACATATCGATGATTGAATTATAATTGCAACACAGAAAATAACAGAACCCTGAATAATATATTCACAAGAGAAAATGATCTAGGTGAAATTATGTCGAGTGTCATTATTTAAAAACATTGATCGAAACGAATATTGTAATTGAAACAAATATTAATTTCCAACTCGTCTTTCGTTGGTTGAAAAGTGAAAAGCGTGGAGAATTACTTTGATGAACTCCTTTACGTTCTGTTTTAATAGCGAATGTTGGAATCGCTCTTCCACTTACGGTTTCAGGCTTGCGGTATACGAAACCCATAGCTTTTATCAATGAAAATATATCTTAACGTACCGCGTTAAACTCACACCTTAACTCGGGCCATAGTAGTACTTGAGTACCGTGTAAATTGA